CTGTAGACAATATTTCAAAGGGAGTGAACTCTGTGTCCATCTCCAAATTCAGAAACTCTAACAAATGGAATGCTTGTGGGAAAAAAAAAAAAATAGCCTAAAATGTTCCAAAACTTCTCTGTTTCAGCCAGGCTTGCAAAGCTGACATTTGAGTGCTAAGAACTGCTCTTAAAAACAGTGAATAAAGCACATGGACCTTCTCAAGAGCTTGAGTTTCATCGAGGAAATGGAGATGGTATGAGCAGGATGCATGGACTGAAAAAGTGCAAACATGGTCTGAATCTCAGCAAAGTCCTTCACTGATGGGTTTATGTTTGCATTGAAGGATTCATGGGTGAAAGCTCACTCTTCAGGAGTGCAATAATACATATATATTGTCCTAGAAACAGGCTACACCATCACAAAACAAGTTTTTCAGAGCAGAGACACCCATTTGTGTATTCTCCATTTGCAACCACTTTTCTCAGTGTGAGCACAGGCTCATGTGCCTGCACAGACTGAGAAGAGCAACCACCTCTTAATGTGCCTCAGCCTCCAAGGCTGATCTTTGAGTGATTTAACATTTGCTCCCCACCAAATAACACTTTGGCCACAGCGCTGGAATAAAAAGTCTGTGTTGTATTCAGTTTATTTCACCACAAACAGTGGTGGGTGCTGGAGCTTCATAGCTGTGCTTGGAGAATACTAAGGAATATTCATTCTTTTTGGATGAGCCATGAATTTGCAGCATTGATGGATAGCAGCCTGCCTTTATTTGCTTGCCTCAAACATTGGTATAAGCATTTTTATTTTGTTTTCAGGAGTATCCATGGAAGCAGCGCATGCGGGTGCCGCGGTTCCCGTGTTTGTGCGCATTCATCCAAGCTGGAAGACTCACAAATAATTGTGCAAATGTGCATTTGTGCAAGTTTTCAAAATCATAAATGATTTACTCGATCCTTCCTCCCCATTATGAACGTTCCAGCCAGGAAGGACACGTGGGGTCCATGTGAATTAAATAGCCAATTGCACCACTTGAAAAGTAAATGGCAAACAGGGAATGCTAAAAGCAGTAGACACAATGGGTTCAAAGAGATTCATGTGCTGAAGTGTTTAATAAAATACTCTTTGAATAAATTTAAATTACAAGTACATTACTTGATTTCCTATCTTGATGTCACAGAGCCTGCAGAGCGCTCTATTGTGAGCTGTCCTATTAACTTCAGCACGATTGTTCACCAAGATAAGCAGTTTCAGTGGATAAAGTGGTGTTTTTAACATTGTTTTTTCCTAGGCAAATATTTTAATCAGATCCTCCTCGTGAGTAAGACTGTGCGAGGCTTACGAAGCTGTGCCACACATTTCCCATAGGAACAGGGCTGCTGGGAAATCAGAGTGGTTTAATCTCCCTTTCTCAGCTTAGACTGACCACAACATGGTCATTCACAGGACACAGCATCTGCTGTGTTTGCAAGACCCTGCTCTGACCCCAGAGCTTGTGAGAGCCACCACAGCTCCAGTGTGGACATGGGACCGAACAGCAGCCAGAAATGGGGCTGGCTGGCTCTCGTTGGGAGTTTGTGGGCTGGGGTGCAGGTTTTGGGTTGATTGGCTGCATGGGGGCTCCGCCAGAAACTCCCTACTCTGGTGACATTTGAACTTCAGCTGCCACAGCTGCAACTACTGTGGTTGTCTTGGGCCCAGAAAACCAAACTCCAGCTTTTCCAAGGAGCCTTGGGCCATCTGCAGAGGCTCAGCCACTTCTGCACATTCACACCAGGAACCATTTCACTTTCCCACCGAAGGCAATTACCTTGGATACAACTTTTAAAAATCCACGCAGAAACAGCGCAATTATTTAAAATCCACTCAATGAACCTCCTACCTTCACCTTTGACAAACACGCTGAAAGAACAAAATTGGGATTAGACAGGCAAGAGTTTGACTGATGTATCATTAACTCTGCTTCTTGAGTGACTAAGCTCCATAGTAGTATCAACTACTAGTACTGAAACATGATTTCATCCCTGCAGCTCCAAACAAAGATAATATGCTTGATCCCTAAACTGTATCACTCCAATTATGATGCCAATTTGTTGTAAAATATTGTTTCAAAGAAAAAGAGGAAAACATTGAGGAGCACCTGATAATTGAATTATAAGGTTATCCTTTTACACCCTGTTTCAGCAATTTTGTTTGAAATCTAGGAACTGGGGCTATAGAACAGGTGATTGCTCAAAATCCAGTATACAGGTTGTTTTATTGATAGAGTTGAGAAACATTTTACTGGGAAATTTCAATTGGCCTGAAATTTGCTCAGCAAAATGCTTTAGGTATGTCAAAAGCAATTTCAGAGCCTGTTCAAGGCATTTTCATCTTCTGCACATTTGTGTCTCAGATTTGTCTTTTTGACATGAGGAAAATGGCAATAAAGGCCATTAAAATAAATTAAGGACGTTTAAACCATTATTTCTTCAAAACACCAGAAGATTTCTAAAAATAGCTTTGAAGCCAAATCATTTAATCACATATAAAAATCCATGACTGAAGTTATTTTCCTGCTGTGTATCTCCTCAGAATTGCAATATTACCTTTAGATTACTAAAAGACTCAGCCACTTCAAATGAGCGAGGCTCTGAAATGGTCAACGGAGTGTTGTTTTAAATCAACTCCTAGAAATGGTTTTATTATTTTATAAAACAAAGGAATGGTTCCATGTTGAAATCCAAGTCACATGGCATGGTTTAAAACATGAATAATTTACTGTATCTATAGATTTTATCTTACAAAACAGAACATACTGAAAAAGGAGGAGAGAATGTAGTCTCTGCTCCTCAGCTCTGAGAACAGATGACAGCTTTCTCAAATTGGGCATTCTTAGCACATATTTGACAACTTTAAAAATTGTAACTTTATAATTTGATTATGAGCATTTGAATTTTGAGCAGAACAGCTCCCTCGCTGTCGGATTGATGTGTCCCATGAAACGCCTTTTTATCCCCCAAAGTGCTGGGGTTTTGAGCTTCCCTTGCACACAGCTCCTGGCTGCTCAGCAAGAACCCTGGTGAGTGCCAGGAGGGCACCGGCGCTGCCCAGTGACGCAGCCACACTGGAGCTCGGCCACCTTACTGGGAGCTGCTTCAGCACTGCCCTCTCAGCTCCCCTGACTGCTGCTCTCCTAAATAAAGTTCTGACTTAAGCCCAGTTGAAATCAAGGCAGAAATCCCACCAGTTTCAGTCAAAGCTGCGCCTCACTTCTATGAGTGGTGTTACTGGGAGACCGCACAGGAATGCTGGCATTAGGAAGCTCAGGGATGTTTCCTGGAGGTCACAGGTCCAGTCTAGCTGAACAAGCTCAGCAACTCCTGCAAGATGCAAACAAGCTTATTTTCCGTGAAAACGGAGGCTGAAGACACTTAGAACAATCTCAGTGAAGATCAAAAGATTCAGTTCAAGTGGAAGACGCTCAGCACCTCTCAAGCAAACTCAGGAGCTCTCAGATGCAAACCCTTTTTCCAGGTGTCATAAAAGCCCGTGCTGAGTGTTAGATTTCCTTTAAGAGTCATAAAGCCAAGCATTGCTATTACCCATAAACCTTCACATTTCAATAATTCTTTCTCTCTTTAGCATCTAAAAATATTTCCTTTTCCTACAGCTCTTCTATGTATGCCTACTATTACTAGGTAGCAAATCCGGTATTTTAAGAGAAAAATCACATTACAGTGCAGCCTTAAATCATTAGCCAAAAGAGGAGAACAGACGTGAGAAAGAGGTGTTTTCTACCACGCCACAGCATGTTCTGTGGAGGAGAAAAAACCCATCTGAACACAGCTGTGACTCTGAACCGGAGCTGGGCTCGTCTGGGCTGAGCCGTCTGTCAGTGGGAACACGGCACAAAGCCGGGTTTGCGAAGTTCCCGTGTGCGGAGCCGAGCTGATGGAACGAGGTGCAGCCCTGTGGGGAGCGGGGCTCCGCTGCCCCACGCCCCCGAGCCGCAAAGCAGCTCGGCACAAGTCACCCGCGTTCCTCTGCTCTCCCTCTCCCCCACATCTCCCGTTCCTCCAGCACCACGGAGGCTCTGCCGGCCGCTCACAGGGAGAATGGGCCAGCAGGTGAGGGGCTTCAGAGCCACCGTGGCCGCGGCCCCGCTGCCAGCGCACGTCCCTCTGCCGGGGATGTGCCGCTTTCCCACGGCCGGAGCCCCGCGCTCTCGGCTGACAGATGTTGTTTCCCGTCTGGGCTTTGCGACCCTCTGTGCCAAATCCTCGCAACACCCATGTGCTTCTTTGTCCCCGCAGTTACCGCCGCGCCTTCTCCACAACTCCATTTTCGGAGAGGGAGCCACATGTTCGGCCTGTGCGGGGAGCGGGGTCCGGCTGCCCCGCTCAGCCGCCAAAGCACGCATCTTTTTATTGTTCCTATCCTCAGCCTGACCCTCGGGCTGTGCCAAGGAACCCCGAGTCCACACTGAACCACCCGAGCGGTGGCAACACCCCCTTCACCCGAGCTCCCGGTGTGTCTGTCTGGGGGCAGACTGGGAGGAACTGGAGTTGCCGCTGTCCTGCCCGAGAGCCGCGCTTGAGCTCCAAAGCCAAAGTCCCGGGGGGAAGGGGGCGGGGGCCCATCCTCGAAGCCTGCAGGGTTCAGGTGCGCCCTAAAGCACCCAAAGCCCCGACCCCGCCAGGAGCCCCCAAAAGCCCCGAAGCCCCGGCGATGGTCGCGGAGCGAGGTCGCCCCCCTGGGCAGCGCTCCCCTGGGCAGCGCTCCGCATCCCGCCGCCGGTTCCCATGGCAATGTCGGAGATGCCGGTTGCCACGGAAACGCCATCCTCCTCCTCGGCCGTGTCCGAGGCAGCGGCGCGGCTCCGGCCCCGGCCCCGGCTCCGGCTCCGGCGGGGCTCAGCCCGGCGGCTCCGGCTCCAGCTCCTGCCGGGCTCTGCCCGGGCGCTGCCCGGCGGCTCCGGGAGCGCAGCCGGGTCCCCCCGGGAAGTTGCTCCCCCCTCCCCGGCGCGGCCCCGGTACCTTCGAGGCAGCAGATCCTCCAGAGCCCCGAGTGCGTGAGATCGCCCCGCGCCTTCCGCGGCGGCCCCTGCGCCTCGTCCGTCGTGATGTTGGTGCCGTTGCAGATGTGGGCGCTGGAGTAGAGCCAGTAGTCGGTGCCGATGGCGATGGCCATGAGGCTGAAGGCGGCGAAGGCGCCCACCGTGGTCAGCAGCATCTGGACGCCACGGTCACACCACACCATGGTGCTTCATAGTCCCCGCACGGGCGCGGGGGGCCGCACGACACCGCCCGGCAGCCGCCGCGCCCGCGGGAGGCTCCGAGTCACGGGGCGGGGGGCGGGGGCCGGGCGGGGGGAGCCGCTGCCGCCGCCGCGGGGCCGGGCTCCGCCGCCGGCCGCGCCCCCGCGCACCGCCCCGGCCGCGCAGGCACCGGGCACGGGCGGAGGGAGGCGGCGAGGGAGGGGCGGCCCGGCCGGCACCGGAGGCACGGAGCCCTCCCGACACCCCCGACGTGATGCCGCCCCGCCGGGGAGAGCCCGGCCCCGGCCCCCGGTGCGCGCCCGCCGAGCGTCGCTCCGGTGCTTCGGTCTGAGCGGGCTCCGCCGCGTCTGGCGTGTTCCATCCCGGGGAACGTGCTCCAGGCCGGTTGGACGGGGCTTGGAGCCGCCCGGTCTAATGGAACGAGATGGGCTTGAAGGTCCCTTCCAACCCAAAGCATTCTGTCGTCCCATGGAATTCCCAGGGGACGAAGGTGTGAGTGTGAAGCAGGCTGGTTCTCGATCCTGCGGGACGCCAGGATCTGTCTGGAGAGCAGGGAGGTCTTGCCCGCCCTAGAGGTGCAAAGCTCTGCACCTTCACTGCTCTTTCTTGGGTGGGTTCTGCACACCTTCCTTCTGCTGCATGGGCTGCCCTGGAAATCACCGTGGAAACGGTGCCAAACACGGTGGGGATGAGGCGTCGCAGTTCCAAGAAGGCGCCCACATTGCCAGGGAGCCATAGCAGAGCCATCAAGGGGGTATAGCCACGATTTCCTCCTGCAGCCTCACTCTGCGATTAATTACACAGGGAGGTTGTAGGCAAGTATTTGGGTTGCTGGTTTGCTCCTGTTTGGAAGGGTGTGGAGACAATCCAGCACCTGAAAATATTTTTCCTTGGAAAACCAAGGGGAGAAATATCTACACCATTTTTGTCGCGCTATCCTGTCTTCCACCCCTCACTCATCACCGCGAGTTGACAAGTCGGTCCTGCCTCCACCTCATGCAAGTGACAAGCCAGATGAATGGGAAGGCTTCCTGATCAGCTAATGCATTTGTGTGGAGAAAACGTGGCAGCACACCAGTTTTATGTATATGAATTAGGGAGTGGGAGGACAAGAGCTACAAACCTCGAGAAATACAGTGCTCTTGCCGAGCAGTGCGTGGATGGCTGCAGGTGCTTGTGTGACTCCAATGCTCAGCATACCAACGCAGAGAGGCTTTTCAGCTGCTCGTCCATTTCAGAAAAAAAACCTGGGAGAGCAAAAAGCAAATACAAATTAAAAGCTGGTCTTTATTTTGCAGAGACCTCGGCGAATTGCTCAGACATGAAGCCTATAAACATAGAACAGCTCCAAAGACAGATGCTTAGTTTAAAAATGTAAATTACACTTTTCTTTTCTGTTGTGGTTTGTAGGTGTATCAGTGCCTTTGCAAAAATCACCTTCTAAATGAATGTCTCCATTAGGGATGGAAGAATGAAATCAGGTAAATTCAAAAGCAGAGTGAAACCTCCTTCCGAAAAACTGGATTGAGCATTTAAGTTTAATGAGGTTCAACAAACTTCTCATTTGAAATATATGTTTGTACCTCTGGGCTTTGGGGGTTTGGACAGAGTGGGGAAATGAGATACTGAAACAGCAGGAGAGAAGCTATTTCCATAGCTTTTTAAACCTATCAAGCCTTAATTAATATTATTTATTTGTATTATGGTATTGCTGGGAGAGATGCTTATGGCTGGAGCAGGGGGAGGGGGAGGGCTGTACCCAGAGCAGGGATTCCACATGGCACTGAAACGTCCTCCTCATCCTCCCAGGACACAGGAAGGGTGGTGGCTGCTCTGGTGGGTTCTCAGCAGGCTCCACCAGCAGAAAGGGGACTCTCAGCACCAGGGTTTCCCCGGGCTCAGAGCCACCAGCCCTGCAGCAATGCTCCTATTGACGGTGCAAGGTAACAGCACATTAACAGCATTTATTAATAAAATATCTTTGCTCCTTTTCCTCCCCCTCCCATTTTTGTGAAGAAGACATCTGTTTCTGTTTCTCCTGCCCCGGGAGAAATAACTCAGGCTCCTGAAGGGTTACAGAGCGGCATGCAAGGCAGGCAATCATTTTCTGCCCAAGCTATCTTCTTTAGTTTAAAAATGTTCTCTATTCTTTTGAAATGCATGAAGTAGATTGTGGGAGAGCTAATATTATATTCCACTACAGAAAGCTGGTGGAGTATTTTACATTGATGTCTGGCTCTAGTGATTTTCTAAGGATTTTGAATTCATTAAATCCAACCATTGAATAATCTCCATTCGTGGCGGAAGGAAGGCAAAAGTGCTTACGCTCTTCAACAGCAGAAAAGCGTGTAGTCTTTTCTTAAACACCAAATCTCTCTGACCCACTGCATGCAGCACAGGTTGCCCACCATGTCACATTTGATTTGCAGGCTTTGCTTATGATACAGCCTTATAAAACTGCCATTGAATGTAGCAGCAGAGAGCCTTGGCAGGGTGTTTTGCACTGCAGTAGCCTCCTCCGTCCTCAATCAGAATTAAGATCCAATTGTTCCAAGCTCAGACCAGAGGCAGAAGCTCAGGACAATGAGAAGAGAAAGCCCCACAGCCTCTCCCTGTAATTCAGCACAACAACGTGCAAGGACAAGAGTCCAAACCCAGAAATAATTTTTACCCTGGAGAAACAGAATCTTGAAACAGAATTGTTTTGATTCCTTGACGTTGATGTTCAAAGCTTTAAATGAAATCTTGTGCCTGATCATTTTATTTCTGAACTGAATAACAGTTACTTTGGAGACAAAACTTTGGCTTTAACTGAATTCAGTGAGAGCTGTCACTAATAAAATCCTGCCCCAGAGACACCACTGGTATCAGAAGAAAACTGCAAGATGTTACCATTTAGCATTACTGCTGCTAAGTGTCAAACATATTGAGTTTAACAGATTAGGTTTTCTTAGGTTTTTTTAATCTATCATCTAGAAAAATAACACTAGCATTTCACTGAAAGAAACATTTGGAAATTGCTCAAGAAGAACTCGAGAGAGTTCTTTCTCAGAATGAAAATAATCACTTCAATTAAATAGGGCTTTTGATGTAGATACAGTCGAACCATCATCAAAGCCTGGTACAGATATTTCATTCTCCCTTGTTCTTTCTCAGCTTTTAGCTCTGTGCATGTGAGAATGAATTTTAGCATCTAGGAACATCCTAAAATTATAAGGACATCCATATTATTGGTGATTGTCATCTTCTGTGGGTCTTGGTGTCTTTCCTATCTAATTTGATGCTGATATTGGGGGAAAAATTATCTTTAATAACCTCCTTTAGATTATGCTGTGTATGGAGAACTGGATGTTTAATCCATTTTGTACAGTGCTGGATAATCTCCTTTATCCCCAGGGCAGTAGTGGGATTTGATTAAACCACCAGATCAACAGCAGAGCTTCACATCTCCAGCCTGAGCACAGAACCTTGGAGGACCCAGGGACGTGGCAGAAGGTGTCAGGGGGTCACAGGTATGTTTAAGAAGGAGTACTACTAAAATTGTTCCTGGAACTGTATTTTCTTGCACTTTGGATCAGATGTTGCAGATTATTGTGATATCTGCTGAACTACCCTAGGGGACTTTTGCAGAGTTGGATCCAAATAATCAATCTCATAAATTCTGTCGTGAAACAAAGGCTGAATTCACTCATTTTTAGGGATGGCACAGAACCTGGCCCACAGACCCACCTATTCCTTCTATTGTAATTCATCATAAATTGCAAGAACATTGTGTCTTTCAGCTCTGAGGACCCCACTCGGTGCAGAGGGTCTTCCTTCTCCTGCAAGGCTGGCAGACAAGTCACCATTGCATTTCAGAGTGTTCAGTACAGGAAAGGGTGAACTTGAGTTTAGTTTGAGGTGTTATAAGGCTCAATTTCTTTTTTTAGTCCTTTCAAAGAGCATCTTGAGTGAGGGGCAGAGTGTTTCAGATTGTCCTTCAGAGCTGAGCAAACAGTCATCTTAAAGGAAAAATATTGTCATTCCTTGCCACGTAAGGGACAACAGCTTGGCCTAGATTCTATTATTCCTTTTAATATATTAAATATTCTTTGGCTTAGTCATGGGAAGCAAAGCAACACAACTGCTTTCTAATAAATAAAATGTGCTCAGAAGCAACTCTGAAGCTTTCCAGATAACTGCATTTTGAGTTTGCCAGGAAGCCAGATGCTGCTATTGGAAAAGTAGCTGCTATGGTTTGTCATCCGAGCCTAGAAATTGATACCCAAGAATGATATGATGAGACAGACTCGATGACAGCATTGCTCTTTCTATAAATAATATGAAGAAAACCTTTTTTTCATTAAAAAAAAGTATTTTTTGTTAGAGACTTGCACAGCAAACCAGAAAATTAAAAAGGATAGGCATGCTGTGTTTGAATAGGCCCAACAAAAGAACATGATATACGCAATTTATAGAAGAATATACAGCAGCTCTCACACATTTTACACTACACAGGCTCTATTTTTCCCATAATACCAATAGTTATGAAACTCATTATCTTTTTGACAATGGAGAAATGGAATATTATTCCTTTACTTGCTTGATCATGTCAAATGTCAAAGCAAATTATGAATGCTTGTCCTTCAAGCACTCAGCCCTCCTGGTAAGATATTTAATATCAATAGCATTCACATCCAGCTACAGAGTGAACTAATATTGCACATGTCTCACAGACCTAAAGTTCTCTGTGCCTGTTGCCTGCCATGAAATTCCATGTCTCAAGTCCCACCTCTTGTCCCTGTCCTAAGCATGGGGAAATTAATTGCAGTGGCAAGTGGCACATTAAAAATTACCTGGAGAAGGAGTTAAATCCATGAGCAGGGGTTATTTGTGGGTCTAAACTGTTAAAAAGGGAATGGGAGAAAGAGCAAGCTGTTAACAGGAGTCTTGATTTTCATCATACTTCAAAAGATTTGGAGAGGAGTGTTCTGATGAGATG